GAATAATGAGGTTAAATCAAGAATTCAAGGATTTTCATTCCAAATGAGTACATGAGGAATGAAAGATAGATGTCAGCAAAACATGAATAAATAAAATAAAATAAGCCATAAGAAGACAAAAAGAAAAAAAACTGTACATAATGTGTTACACATGGAGTTTTTTTAAAACTTTATTTATCCAAGTAAACTGTTTGAGAACCACTTCTCATTTACAAACATGACCTGGCATGCACTGAGTGCATTGTAATATACAAACCTACATATTCAGCCAKAGTAAAGTGATTGTAAATTTTAACCGCGATTAAAATTTTTATCTATGCCCATGCAGTACTAAAATTAGAGTTAACTCRATTAATTTCACAGCCCTATAAAGTTTATTTATTTGTTTATTTGATTGATTTTTGACGCACATTAATCAACATTACCACAATTCCTTGCAGTGTAAATATGCAAAAATTAGCACAATAGCTAAATTTCATCCTTTGTCCCAGACAGGTAAGCACAATAAACAAAACACCTCACTATACAATCCACGGGACAAGTTTCACATCAGTCCTTTCTGTTATGTAGAGATTCAGTCTAAATGAAGTGGTTCAGGGTTGCCAGATGTGCCATAATTATCATATTTGTATGATAAACAATTAACAATCCTATAATACTATAACCATTACATTCATTTTCAGTTTAGTGAAATTAATGTTCAAACCAATGTATTTGATTTCACATTCTGCAAACACATTCAGTCTGAGGAAATCTAATTCAGTTTCAAGTTTCTTCCCATAGAAGGCTTATTTTTTTCCTCCAGTCCCTTGTTGGGACTTTAAATCTTACCCAGTGTGAGGGGTAATCAATCTCCCAGCCTCAGTTTTGCCAGGAGACGTGTCCCCTGCTTTACTCGTTCACAGACTTCAGAAGAACCAAACTCAAAGTGCAGGTTAGAGCTTGAGCAGAGAGCTGTCCGTCAGCAACACAACCAGTGAGAGCAGAGGTCCAAAGGGAGCCAAGCTTTTATTTTGACAGTCCCTGAGTTCAGCGAGAGAACTGACTCAGTTCTGTTTATTTTTCAAGGAGAAACATCTGAACATCTGTGGAGTTCCTCGCAGCAACATGCTGGGCTAAAGTTACAGACTGCACCGGTGGACGAGAAGGCATGAACATGTGTGTTTAAAAAAAAACACAAAGATGCTCACACACACACGTTTGCCCAACTATACATTTTGGGGACATTCCATTGACTTCCATTATATTTCTACAGCCTAACTCTGACCACAAACCCTAAGGCTAACCTCACAGGTACCT